ATGATAAACAAGCAGCAGACTTCTCGCCTCTCTTTTTCCTTGTTTGCTCCGAAACTCGGTTGTGAAATTGAATCCTTTTTCTCGAGGAAAAGAGAGAGAAAAGGACAAGTTGTTTGGAATTCGTATACGCGTGGCAAAAAACGTGAGACGCTTTTCTGGAAAAAGTTTGTGTCAGGTGAAATTCATATAAAATTTTTTATTTTTGTCTCGCCCGGCCAGCAGCTTGTTTCTGGCGAATGGGCAAAATTTGTCGTCACAGAGCGTGGTGTCGCGAGATAAGAAGGAGCAGATGCCGAGGCGTATAATTTGAAATGCGGAGAGGCAAAGTTGGCATGATAAGCTGAAACCACTTGGCAACCGACATGCATGTTGTGTCTAAACGAGAACCCACATAATTACCTGTTTCAAAATGGTCCTAGCTAGCGCAAAGTCACTTTAATTTTGTGTACGCAGACCGAAAGTTGGTGCTGGCGAAAACGCCAGACTCGCTTCATTATTTGCTCTCCGATGGAAAAGGAACGGACGTTCTGCAAAGTGTGGCAGCAAGTTTTAGCCAGCACAGGCCGCATGACCGACTCGAAATTAAGAGATATCTCCAGCCAAGTTTAAAGTACGGAGGTTGCGGTTCGCAGAAATTAAATTTTGCAGCGAGGCATTTGCACAGAAAGTGAATTGCGGTCTGCTTGGTTTTAATGCATAACAAAGTAATGAAATAAATTGAATGCTAACGAGGTGGATTTCATGAAAAATGAAAGAAATGAATAAATATTTTTTAGAAATTTATAATTCAATGTATAATAATTTAAACATTTAATTTATTATTATTTTTAGTTTCAAAGGGAGAGTTCAATGTCCCATAATCAACTAAATTAAAAATAACCGTCAAATATTTATGTACATGCAATTTTCTCTCATCTTATATTTGCTTCTTGGTTGTAAAGCTTGTAAACTTGTGTAGTTTATTACCTGCAGTTCATCACAATAAAATTAATGTTTTATAAATTTCATCTTTTTAATAAAATGGCAAAATCTAGCATAATTTGTTGATAAAATTTTTCGTAAATACAACATTCAAAGAAAAAGAAACAATTATTATTTTCATCTAATCTTTCTTTTTAATTTATCGCAAAAAAGCAAAAATGCCGATCTAATCGTAATAAAGAAAGCAATATAAGTTTTTTACTACTTGCCATGTATAAAATGTTGCCTATATCCGAGGCAGCAGCTTAATCCATCAGCAGTTTGTGAGGACAGTGGCGAGATTTATAATTATGGGGTGTTTGCATGCGTCCGGCACATTACCGGGGTGAAGTGATGCCCGTAAAAATATTCCCTCCGCACAATTTTGTCGCACCATCAAATCAGCGCCGGCGTTGCGCGCCGCCAGACAGTGCGGCCATTCCATCATTATTGATAAAAAAATTTTTTTAATAATCAAGATTGCGGCACGCTCTTTTCTCGCTCGGAAGGGTGAAGAACGGACGGACGCACGCTTCGCCCCCAACCGTTCATTTATAAACATTCGAGCGAGAGAAAAAAAAACAGAAAAGCTCCGCCATTTCCGCACGCGAGCTCCATTTAAATGTTAATATTTCAGGCCAGACGGCATTTAGTTTTATGTATGACTGATTTAGTATTCATTCTGATGAGATAGGATAAGAACGGGAAGGGGTAAATTATCGCCTCACTCGTCGGCGAAAGAGAATTGATTTTGTTATTGCCTGTGCCTAAAAGGTGCTTTGCACGAATCCATATGAGTTTATCATTCTGTTCTTTGTTGGTTTAATTGCGTAACGATGCAATCTGATTTACAGTTAATCCTTTTTTCCACGTAATGTTATTAAATTTAATCCAATTTTGTTTTTGTTTCAAATGTTAAAATATAAAATTATAAAATGTGATGAACATAAATAACAAATTCCTAAAGCAAAGCTTAATCTGAATGAGTTGCGGGAATAAAAGTTAAAATTATTTTTGCATTAAAAAACAGCTTACCAAAATCCTTTTAAAATATTTTGAGAGCTTTTTCAAAAAATTCACATAAAACGTCATGCAAAGTAAATTTAGAAAATAGGGATTATATAAGTCTGTTATTTTTCTTTCTTTTAAAAGGCGTACAATTTAATAATATATAATTATAGCTTTGCAGAGGAATTAAAATTCAATAAAATACACTCTTTTTATTTGAAGAAGAATTTAACGGGTTTTGAGAAATATTTCAAAACTTTTGTTTTCAGCTTTCATTTTTTGCATTTCAAAATTCAACATCATTTAGGAAGAACTTTTTTTTGCCTCGGATTATTTTTATCCATTGGACGATTTTCAGATAAATATTGCGGCAGAAGATTCAGCGATCTCCCTCGAGAGATGATGAGACTATATATTATCTTTGTGGAGAAAGACTATGCGAAATTAAATTCCCCCTTTCCGCAGCCGAACGCCGGCAGCATTAAGTATTCGTCGAGAGGCTCCAAGCTGGAAATCCGATATAAATTCGCCAATATGCTGAGCTTGTATCAATTTTCGAAATAGACGAGTGACTCTAGGGGCTGAGCGAGCGTTTCTCGACTGGCAGCCGCAGCTTTCCTGTCTCGAGCAACTCCCGGGGAAAATGTAAACGACAATTACTATTGCATTGTGTATTGCCGACGGCTGCGGTCGCAATGAAGGAGCCAATCAAGCTGTCTCAGGACATCAATAGCTTTCTAACGAGGATCTCTGCCACCCGAAGACCGCCGTTTTCAGCTGACTACGCGATTTCCTCCTCTGCCCTGCCCTCACTGCTGGGATTTCGACAAGGCAGTCGGCAGCTCTGTAGTGCCACTTTCTTTGATGGACTGCGAAACCAACCGACTTATAAACACTTTGTGCCAAGTTGGTTATTTTGTCCAAGCAGTGAAACAACTCTAGAGACGTGTTGTAATTATTGTAATGGCTGACCACGAAGAGGGAGAGGAAATTTCTCAAGTCTCTTAACACAACTCTCGCCAGGAAAGACGCCGTAACTAATTTTCACAATAATAATTGTAGATTATATTTGATTAAAGCTATTAATAATATTCTAGGCAATTCAAAATTTGTTTAATTGCAAATTTCAATTAAAAAAAATTTTTTTTTTAAATAAATTTACGCGTTTCAAACAGAAAATCTTTGCTTGAAATTAATTTCAAAACATGTTTTACTTCTAGGATTTTAGTTTGAATTGTTTTTAAGAACTTTTATTAAGTATTTTTAGGAATGACTAATTTTTTTATTAGAAATTGGTGCAGTATTTTAACGTCGTAGTTAAAAATGAGCCTCGAAATCCTTTCCCATGGAGTTGGGATTCCCAAAAGTCATTTATTCGACCCTCTCTCATTCCACCACTAACGTGTCTCCCGAGGGTGCAGCACTCGCTCGCATTTTTCCGACACATGGTGACGTTCTGCCCCCTTTCCCGACTAGCACAACCAATTTTTCCCGAGACGCAAAATGGCATTCTTTGCATTTCTCCGACAGGCTCGAGTGCAGCAGAAAATGCGAGGAAATAAAATAAAAAAGCTCCCTCTTTTCTTAGCACGCTTTTCACTCAAATGTCGGGAGGAAAAAGTCACAATTGAAATTTGCACGCGCAGTAAGACTCTTCGATGCACTCCTCGTGCACATTAGGAATGTGTTTTGAATTATTTCCCAACGGACGCCCGCACCTGATGTGCACGAGGTGAGATTGAATTCCACGCTTTTCTTCTCCACCCCTCCGTGAATGTGCAGGAAAAGAAAAAAGAATTTTCCTGGGAATTTTTCTTTTTGATGAAATGTTGTTTCGCTCCGAGATTATTTTACATGGGGAAAAAAAAATGCTCCCTGCCTGTGGGCCGATGTTGCCAACGGCCCAAAGGCAAACCTCTCCGACCTTTACGGCCCACATAACTCATCGGGCTGATAAAAAATTCAGACGGATGCAGCTCGAGATTTGCACGTCCCAGCGCCGGACCGAATTTTCAATTGGACCCCGGCCGGAAATAGAGCCGTCATTACAGGCACGTGAGCACTTTTGGATTGATTCATTTTGTGAGCAAGAAGTATTTAAAGGAGGAGTACCTTGAATTTCACGGTTGGAACGTGATGGGAATCGGGTACGTGCTGGACGGGACAATAATTTAATTTGGCGGTGGAAACTGGAATTGCCGGCTATAAAGGGATGCAGCGGAGTGCATTTAGTGCGCCAAATGCGAGTTTAAATTTTCCGCTGCATAAAAAATTAAAAGCAGGCAAGAGATATATGAGATGGTCCCTCAGGGATCATGATGATCGTTGAAAATAACATATGTGTGCAGCTACGCGTTCAAATTTTCTTGGCAAGGATTCAGAACATCCGAAAATTTATAATTTATTAGTTTTCATTCCCTAAAAGGTAATTTTTAAGTAAAAAAGTAATAATTAAATGTTAAATCACCTAAGGAAAATTTAAGATTATTTTTATAGATGAAAAATGCCTTATAGGCGCCTATTTAGTTAATTTTTCATCTGCATAACAGGCTCTTTTAGGTGTAAAAGCTAAAGAGTTGAAAATGACGGTATTTTTTTTTCAAAAACTTTATTGTTTTTTAGCTTTTTATATGAATGAAGGCAACATACTTGATTTTGAAAGATATTTATAAAAATAATAATAGTTAGGTGATAAAAGTTGGAAAAAAAACGGGGAAAAATTAATTGATTTTAGGTGAATATACGTTTTTACTCGATTAGGTGAAAAATAAGGGAAATAAGGGTATTTTCTTAGATAATAATTCTTAAATATCAATTTTAAATTGAAAAGTTATTCAAAATTTGGTCTGTGTTAGTAAATTGCCAACGAAAAGGCAAATATTTTATGGTGATCACCTAATTTTATTTTTTTTCTATGTATAAATTATATATATGAAAATTATTTTGATGAAATAATATATCCGGACAAGTAATTGAATGGTGCATTCAATTTTGGTTGGTATTCAACGAGACGTTAGATTAAAAATTTAACATTTCAATTTGTACAGCAAAAACTCAACATAAAACAACTTTCTTGATGCTACTATATCCTAAGAAATTCCAATCATTAAGGAAATCGGAGAGGAATTTTTATCTTGAGATTGCTGGAAAAAGTTTAAAATGAATAAAGAAGTCTTCTTTATTTTGACTCTCTGGCAAGTTGCTTCTTCTCAGAAGTGCGTACAAAGCGTTAAAAAAAACTAGACAGCACCTTGGAAAGTCCTCGGCTCTCTTATTCGCAGGGACCAAATGAAATTGGGCCGCAGTCTTTTCATCTGGCGCGGCTCAAAGGGAATTCTTTACTGTGGACGACGCGCGGGCGGAAAAAAGTAGCCGCTTGGAAAGGAAAACACGGCGAGTGGATGGAAGGATGAAAATCGAAGGGCGGCTCGAAAAGAAAGGAGAAAATCAATCCAATTTACCTAAAATCATCCTTGCCGTCAGCAATTGATGTCTTACTTCCGACCGGGCTGTCAGTCTCTCTTCTGCAACATAAAAGGGCAGAGCATTAAAGGAATCGAACCGCCGGAAGGGTTGAAAGGAGCACAGCGAACTCAAATAAACATTGTGAATGAAAGAAAGGCTCTTTAAAAATACAAGGGTAACTCTGGTGTTTGTGCGCGGCCGAGCAGACATATGCACATGGCGCAAGAACGCATCCACTTTGTATAATGGAATTAAACTTTTCGTGCTGCTTAATGGCACGGACTTTGCAAAATTCTTTCGTTCTTGAAGAGAGTTCGAATGAAGAGCAACTTTTAAAAGAAGCTTAACTTGGTAAACAGCGTCCCGACGAGACAAAATTATTCACTCCATTTAATTTAATGAATATAAATCAATGGCGGCGGCAAAGCGGCTATTTTTGTTTTCTGGCGCCGCACTAAGGAACGGCTTAATTCTGCGAGAAGGAGGAGAGAGAGAGAGCCAAGGCCTTAATGCTAATTTATGCACGCAACCGTGGATCTTTAGGCTTGGCACAATCAATTATTTGGAGCGTAACAAATTCAGCCTTGCCGCACTTTGACAATTTACGACCGAGTTTTCCGCCTCATTCCGCCTTGGCGTTTAAGCATGTAAAATTAGGCAACTAAGGAAAAGTTTTGTTAAAAATGTGATGATGTATAATAATCAACGTTTAATTCAACACAAAATAAGGAACTGATATAAAATTAGTTTATTTTATTAAAATTTACATAGAAAAATAAAAATATTTAACGTTTTTATTATTTAATTAATGTAAGAAATCAAAAATTAAAAAGATTTCACAATATTTCATATTTTTTATTATATTTATTTATTTAATTTTTTTTTCATAATACTTTATACGTATTTTTTTTAGAAGAAATCGTCATTCAAGAAGATGATCATGGATTTAATTAAAAACAATTTAATGCAACGAGGAAAAAGCTGATCTATTCGCGTCCATAATTCATAAATCTATGTATAAAGTTAATGAATATTTTTGTCTATTGATATTGATTTAACAACAACCTGTAATTTAAATTCCTCATAACTTTAACTGTGAAACACCTTATAAAAATGTTCTTATTTCATATTTCATATATCGCCTCAAATTATAACTCATTAAATGATAATAATTGCTAATTCTAGCTCGACCCTTTATAAATTACGCAAGGTTTGCTTTAATTATACACTTTTGCAGGACACTGCTCTTGTATGTATGTCATTGTGGAGACGGTAACGTGCCTTCTTGTTAACATGTTGCGTCACTAATGAACATGCACCCACCCGCAGACTGAATTTGCATCCACACACGGGATGGTCTCCTGTGTGCCTGTGCGAGCGCACCGCTTGCCGCTTGGGCAACTCGCCCGACCGACTCGAACCCAACCAACTGACGAGGTTATAAATAATGCATGTAGGTCACCCTCATGAAAGTAATTAAAGATGGAAGTGGCACTATGTAGTGCGCGAGCGCGTGTGTGGGTTCCAGACCCGGAATCCGCATCTAATTGCCAGCAGTTCGAAAGAACCCGGCGACGTGAGCCGGAATAATTAATGCGCAGTGCCTTTGAAACTTGCTGTGAACTCGATTAATTTTCCCTCCAGGGAACGACGGGTTGTCAATTATGTATCAAACAAGGAAAGTAAGACGCGTCGGGCTGATTTCCTGCGTTCGAAGCGGCAATTTCCTCAACATAACTGTTGCCTTTATGTTTCCTTGCAATTATATAAATGAATGAAGTGAAAATAACAATGGAAATGAAGAGATCGGGCTTTTCCTCGTTGCAAAAAATTGTTTTTATTCAAAAACAAACGGCTCTATCAGTTTCGGTCACGGTCTGCGACCCTATTTCATGTTTGTTTTTGAATAAAAACAATTTTTTGCAACGAGAAAAAGCCCGATCTCTTCATTTCCATGAAAATAACAAGTTGCGGTTATTTAAAAAATAGATGCTCTGTTGCTTCTTATCAATTTATTGAAAAAGTTTTATTATTAAATCAAATTCTATTTTCTCTTTTTCTATACAAACTTAATTAATATTTTGCATTCATCTGAGAGGAATACGAGAGAGATTTTAAAATCAACATTCCTCGTACTTTTCATTCAAGAATTATTGCTACTTATTTCTACCCTTTCATGGCTGTGTTAAGTTTTACTTAATTAGAAAAACAAGCCATTCGAGACTATTTCTACTAATTACACAAGAGAGCAAAACTAATTAACAAATTTATCAAGATTGCTGTGACTTGTTTGGTAAATATAAAATTAATTGAATTGAACTTATTTTTTTCACGAGAATTTTTTAATTTTAGAAAACTTTGCTAGAGGCGGCGCATTTTTTTGTTTTTTTCTTGTCCAATTTTTAAGATTTCACAGGACATTATGAAATAAAAATATCTTAAATAAATATAGATAATTATTGTTCAATAATTTCAGCAATCCAAACTAGTTAAGAGAAAGTGAGTTAGGCAACGTGCGGCGCACATCCGTCGTGCGTGTTGCCTAAGCGTGAAATCGGCAGGCTGTCTTTTTGCGAGGGCCGCTCCCGAACTCACTGGAGCTTGAAGAGCCGGCCAGTGGGAGCAGTGAGAGGGATAAAAGTCGAATTTCCAGCTCATCAGGCAAAGCGCGGCGCGGCTTTATGATTTCAATTTGTAACATGTCATCAGCGGAGCCGAAACACCTCTCTGGGGGAGCCTGGGCGATCTGGGTCACTGGCATGAGGGTGAATATAACTTTAATCTGGCCGGGCCTGACATAAAGAGGCATTGTGCTGGCCTCCTTCTGATCCACCGATGCATGGACTCCACGTCGGTCGGGTAATCTCTTAAAACCGCGCCGTGGTCCGGACTCGGAATGACCCTGGCCGGCCGGCCTGTGCCTCGAGTAAATCTCCATCAGAGTGACGTCGACGTGCAAAAAGCGCTCGTCGGCGGCGGCAAATAAACATGTGACGATTTGGCCACGGGAAAGGCAGAGGAAGTAGCTTGTTTTTTTTTCGACAAATGTGGGTCTAGTTAGCTGAAAGAACAGATCCGGAGAAAATGCTTGTTGTTTTCTTTTTCTCTCTAGACATTTTTCAATAAACCACAAACAATGAATATTAAAATTGACGAACAGATTTAATTTTAAATGAACAAGAAAAAAAGAGATGCTGAAACGATTGCAAAATTAAAAGACCTAAAAAGAAGCCAATATTAAAAATTTGTTTAATTTTTTTTCACTTTAATATAAATTCTTTGCACATATATAACAAAAATTAAAATCAATTTTATTACAAAATTTTTAGATCATTACTAAAAATTTCTGATTTCTTTTCAAATTTCAGAAGTTTTAAAGTGTTTATTGTTCAGGGTCCCATAGAAAGTATGATTTTTCATTAACATTGATTTTATATAATTCTACAAAATAATTTAATTGCGCACCTATACCCATAATTCCGCAATGAAAATATTCTCACAATAGACATGTAAATAAGGAATTAACGAACGAAATGCAACAATAGGATTTTACTTGTATCTGTTTTCAACTTTCAAAATATAAGTCATTGTTGAACTCGAATTTTCAAAGAATTCTCCACATTTTAACAGCCAATCAGCAGCAACGGTAAAAATGGACCCGATTTCTTTAGAACATCAATATGAAATGAGATTATCTTGGAATAAGAGCTGCCTGGAGGAGCTGAATTCCACGAGAAAGGAAATTTTGGGCTACGAGGAGAAGGAAGCCAAATGGCTGGACGAGGCAGAAACCCCCGGTCTGGAGGACAAAGTCGGTGAGCTTCGCTCCAAGAATTTCAAATGTCACGAGTTTCAGCGTCGAATTCTCGAGGAGGAAACAAATTTGAAAGGCATTCGCATCTCAGAGACTGAAAACAACTACAAGCAGGTGCAGGAAAAAGTGACTTGGAGGAATAAGTCCTCGACTAGAGCACGGTAAAAATGATTTGAATTTTTAAAGAATTATTTCAAAATTAAAATTTTAAAGGATTGCCTACTTGAAAGAGAAACTGAAAATCGAGATGGAGCATGGTTCCTGCATGACCAAGATTTTGAAAGATTTGACGAAAAACCTTGTCTCTGTCAAACACAACGGCATTCAGAGCAAATCGCCGCCGTCCACAGACTTGGCCTCTGTGAATGTGTTCCTGGAGCGGCGACTCATGGCCAAAGAAGCCGATTTGACCAGATTGGAAAAGCAGCGTGTGCGCTTAGAGAGGTCAAAACGTGCTGTGATGAACAAGTCGGCCGTGGACGACTTGGGAAGCATCAATTCCAGTGACGTGGAGAGCGTGTCCGAGGCTGAAAGTCATGACATCACGCCACTGACAAAGGCCCTGCAGGAAAACATCGCCCTTACCTTAGAGAAGCAGAAGCTTGAGCGTGAGATTAAATTGGTTACGGAGAGGAACGAGGAAAAAAGAAGTATAATTTGTTGATCTATTTAAATTTTTTCATGTTATAATTTTAAAATATTTAAGATCGTTGCGAGAAATCCAGGACTGAGTTGGAAGAGCTGCAGAAAAAACTTGAGCAGTATCAGAACGTCAAAGTTGAGTGGAGCCAGACAAAGGAAAACATCCAGAAATTGATCAAAGTTATTTCCGAGCGTACGGAAATCTGTGCTGCCCTTCAGGAGAAGGTGGATAAGAACAACGAGGAGATTCACAGGGTCAAGGACAGCATTATTAGCCACCAGGCTAGGCTGGCAAATAGTGAATTTAGTGATGAGGAACTCGCCAAGACCCAGGAAATAGAAAATCAGGTGATCAAGAAGAGGCAGGAGCTGGAATCGGTGGAGAAGAAAATCGAGGATGCTGTGCGTAGTTTTTATCTAAATCTTTGTGAGTTAAATTTTCCAAAGACAATAAATTTTATAGGTGGTTGAGATGAATGAGCTAACGGAGCAGAACTTGGCTCTGAGCGCAGAATACGAGGAGATTCGCATCAAAAACAAGATGAAGGAGAGTGAAATTGCAGAGAAAAAGAAAAAGGAAGATGATGAAATTAAAAATTTGAAGCTGAGCATCATGCAGCTGCAGAGAGAAACTGCAGTGAAGAGAGAGAATATCAAGAACTTGATGGAGTACGATGAGGAGCTGAGCAGGAAGATTGAGGAAGCGAGCTTTGAGTTTCAACAGCTCAAAGAGAGCCTTGCAAAGTTACGCTCCGAGAAGCAAGTGATGCAGTCGGACAGAAAGAAGATTGAGGCCAACATAGAGGAGGTGGATGCTATAATAAAAAAGACGGTAAAAAAAGATATAAAATGATGAAACAAATTGTAATTTTTTTTCAAGGCTGAGGAGAGAGCAGAGCTTCAGGCGACTGTTCCAGAATTGGAAGAAGAGATCAAGGAGAAGAAACGTGTCAGGGACGAGCTGCAGGAACAACTGAACGCCATCCTTGTGGATTCGGAAAAGGCCAGGAATCTGATGTGGCAGGTGCAGGAGTCCAAACAGGCGGCCGAGGAGGCCAAGGAAATCGAAGCCAAATCTAGTGAGGGTGTGTTCTCTTGGCTCATGGGCTGGTCCAATTCTGATCAAAAACCAGCCATTGAGTTCACCGAAAAATAGATATTTTTTTGTATGCAATAAACAAATAATTTTTGTCGGTCCTGTTAAAAAAAGTTTCAGATTATAATTTTCTTATTTAAATTATGCCCATAATTGTATTTTTAAAAATAAATATAAAGTACCAAGCCCGTATAATTATTTAAAAAAAAAATAACTCATGGAGAACATAATTACTATTTAGAATATAAAAAAAGCCTTTTTTTATTGAATTAAAAGCTAACATGCTAAATGCTTATTAGGTTGTTTCAGTGAAAATGCTTCAGGTGTCTTTTGTGTATTCCATAAATTAAAAATTAAAAAAAAGCATCACCAATTAAAATGTATTTATTCTCCGTACAATAAAGTTATATAAAAATTAATAATTTCATTTCAAAAAGGACGAGCTGAGTGGCTGAAATGACTGCATGAAATTCAAACCCTTTTCAGATAATGATCAAACGCTAGTTAAATAATTAAATGTATGGTGCTGGAATTTCCTGAAAAATAAAATTGATTGGCTAATTTATATATTAGATTTGCAGGTTTCTTTCAAAAATTTCCTCATAAGGGTATCGAAATATATTCATAATCCATTATTTCCCCAACGATCGTTCTGCAACAATGGTAATTTAGAGATATTTCAAAATATCTAACAAATGCAACAATAGGATTCATCCTATCAGTTTTCAACTTTTGAAATTAAATGCATTGTTGAACACAAATTTTCAAAGATCATTCTTTAGTTTCCAACGGCCCTTCAGCAGAAACGGCCAAAATGGACCCGATTTCCTTAGAAACACAATATGAAGTGCAGTTTTCTTGGAATAACAGCTGCCTGGAGGAGCTGCTTTCTACGAGAAAGGAAATTTTGGGCTACGAGGAGAAGGAAGCCAAATGGCTGGACGACGCGGAAACCCGCGGTTTGGAGGACAAAGTCAGCGAACTTCGCTCCAAGAATTTCAAATGTCACGAGCTTCAGCGTCGAATTCTTGAGGAGGAAACGAATTTGAAGGGCATTCGCATCTCAGAGACTGACAACAACTACAAACAAGCGCAGGAAAAACTGGCATGGAAGAAAAAGTCCTCGACTAGAGCGCGGTAAAAATGATCTGAATTTTTAAGAATTATTTCAAAATTAAAATTTTAAAGGATTGCCTACTTGAAAGAGAAACTGAAAATCGAGATGGAGCATGGTTCCTGCATGACCAAGATTTTGAAAGATTTGACGAAAAACCTTGTCTCTGTCAAATATAACGGCATTCAGAGCAAATCGCCGCCGTCCACCGACTTGGCGTCTGTGAATGTGTTCCTGGAGCGGCGACTCGTGGCCAAAGAAGCCGATTTGACCAGATTGGAAAAGCAGCGTGTGCGCTTAGAGAGGTCGAAACGTGCTGTGATGGACAAGTCGGCCGTGGACGACTTGGGAAGCATCAATTCCAGTGACGTGGAGAGCGTGTCCGAGGCTGAAAGTCATGACATCACGCCACTGACAAAGGCCCTGCAGGAAAACATCGCCCTGACCTTAGAGAAGCAGAAGCTTGAGCGTGAGATTAAATTGGTTACGGAGACGAACGAGGAAAAAAGAAGTATTATTTGTTAATTAATTTAAATTTTTTGATGTTACAATTTAAAAAATTTAAGATCGTTGTGAGAAATCAAGGACTGAGTTGGAAGAGCTCCAGAAAAAACTTGAGCAGTACCAGAATGTCAAAGTGGAGTGGAGCCAGACAAAGGAAAACATCAAAAAAAATAGACGAAGAAATTTCCGAGCGTACAAAAAGCTGTGCTGCTCTTGAGGAGAAGGTGGATAAGAACAATGAGGAGATCCACAGGGTCAAGGAGAGCATCCATAGCTTCCAGTCTAGGCTTGCAAATAGTGAATTTAGTGATGAGGAACTCGCCAAGGCTCAGGAAGTAGAGAATCAGTTGAACAATAAGAGGCAGGAGCTGGAATTCCTGATGAAGAAATTTGAGGACGCTGTTCGTAGTTTTCACCTCTGATTGTTGAATTAAATTTTTGAAACAAGAACTTTTACAGGTGATTCAGCGGAATGTGCTGAAGGAGCAGATCTCGATTCTGAGCGCAGATTACGAGGAGATTCACGCCAAAAACCAGCAGATGGAGAAAGAAATTGCAGAGAAAAAGGAAAAAGAGGCCGAGGAAATTAAAAATCTGAACATGCGCATCAAGCAACTTCAGAGAGAAACTGAAGTCAAGACGGAAAACATCAAGAATTTGATGGAGTGCGACGAGGAGCTGAGCAGGAAGATTGAGGAAGCGAGCACCGAGTCTCTCCATCTCAAAGAAAGTCTTGAGAAGCTCCGCTCCGAGAAGCAAGTGATGCTGTCAGACAGCATGAAGATCAAAGCCAACATGCAGCAGGTGGAGGCAATAATCAAAAAGACGGTAACAGAAATAAATAATAATAAACAAAAAATATAAAATTTAATTTAATTTCCAGACCAAGGAAAGGGAAGAGCTTGAGGTGAAAGTTCCAGAACTGGAGAAAGAGATCAAGGAGAAGAAACGTGTCAGGGACGAGCTGCAGGAACAACTGAACGCCATTCTGGGGGATTCGGACACAGCCAGGAATCTGCTGAGGCAGGTGCAGGAGTCCAAACAGGCGACCGAGGAGGCCAAGGAAAACGAAGCCAAATCTAGTGAGGGTGTGTTCTCTTGGCTCATGGGCTGGTCCAAGACTGATCAAAAACCAGCCATTGAGTTCCCCAACGAATAGTTATATTTTTTTTAATGCAATAAATCTGATTACCGGTTCTGCTAAAAAAATCGAAATATTTTTAACTTTAATTTGAATAATGCCCATTTATATGTCATATCTAGCCTTTATTTCAAATTAAAAAAAAAAATCGTGGAGATATTATTGATTTATTCAGAATCACATTTAAAACACACATGAAATGAGAAGCTAATGGGCTGTCGTTGATTCTCATTGAAATAATTCCAAACTGATTGAATGCACCAAATCAATTTGCGAAATCCAACCGCAGAAATGGCGCGCTCGCAATAATCGGTGAAACCAACCACACGTCAGTCGATGGTGCTCCAACGCAATCAGCATAGAGATTTGTACTCGAAATAAGAGAGCGCCCATTCCATTGCCGCGAAACGGAATTCTGCTTGCTGACGGTAAACAAATTGCTTGCGGCGCTGATTGCCGAACATGATTGAATAGTTTGCCCCGCACACTCGTGAACAAAGCACTCGGTCAGACACGGTGGTTTGCGCGCATATGATGAAATCTCCCGTCAGGGCGTGCAATATTTTACTGCGGTAAACGCAATTAATTATGCAAACCTGAACATATATTTCACATTCATAAAAAAAAACCATTTGTTTTTGTTTTCATGATTTCGATTAAATAGCCAGCAATATATTGAAATTTCCCATGAATATAACAAAGTTTTTGTTCGAACAATGCAGAGCTGCTGGAGTTGCAAAAGGATCGAAGAAACTTTCCACGGCTAAGAATTAATTTAAAGATAATGCTCGTAAATGAGAATTCCTCGCAGGCCAATAAAAGCACAGAATCTCTTTGCTCAGAGAGAGCATTTGTGTGTAATTAATGCAAATAAGGCTGTCTGCCGCTCGCAAGAAACTTTTCCATTAACTTCATACTTCTTTCGCTTGCTGTTTTTTATAAATCACGCTTGTGTTTATGCCTTGAAAATAATTTATGAAAGAAGCAGTAATGCACTGCCAGCGCTGGATGCATCTTTATGATTCTCGCAGTTTTTATTTGTTCCGCAACACGGAGCTGCAAAATTGCACAAAGAACTGCCTCTGTGAAAAGAGCTCAAGACGGAGCAAATGCAACCTTTTCAGCAAAGCTGTAGTAATTTCCCTTTACCTTATATTCCAGTTTCAATAATTTACTACACTCGAGCGCAATTTTTAATGAGCTCTAGTCTGGAAATAATGACTACCAGTCTCAAGAGGAAAATTACTAAATGCAGATTTTCTATTTCAAGCTCCTCTTTTGCTAATTGAAGTTTTTAAAACTTCATATTAAAAGTAATTTGCAAAGATCAATTTACTGTTGAGAGAATTTTGAGCATTATTTCAAGAGGAAATAAGTCATTTAAAGAAGAAAATGAAATTGTGGCAACGTAAAATAAACTATTATTAATAGAAATAATTATGCTATTTCTAGAACTGAATAATGGAGCAGTTCAGATATATTTCAAATAATTATATTAAATGGTTAAATTCCTAGTATTTCTTACATTCATTAAATGCCTTTTTCCCTCAGGAAATGCTACTTTTCAATCGCTGAAACACACAATATAGTGTCTAGAGACAGATTTAAAATTTTTGCAAAAATATTTTAAGTTAGCGACATTAATTATAAAACTTACGTCTTTCATTTCGAGGTAGTTGACTCGCTGTTTTTTTTTTCGATAATGAACTTAATATTTATACCAACCACTTATTCTAGTCCCTATTTTTTATTTTTTTTTATTTCCTGCACATCTCCGCAGTGAGCGAGACACGCAGGACATTGTGTCGAAAAAAGATATCAATGGACAAAAATTCAGCTCACGTACAAAACGAGTAGTCGCCGCAGCCGCAAAAGTTCTGCTCGCATTCATCTCTATGAAAAATCCATCCTGCGTCCTTTTGTATTCGCGAATATGTGCGCGAGTAAATAACCGTGCGACCAAGCAAGCGAGCTGGTGGCGGAGAAAATCCACTTTTCGCCGGCGGATGGGCTTTCACGGTCCATTTGCACTTTAATTTGATCCCCGATCGGCCTCGAGCGAAAGGCAGAAAATCCTCTAGCGATTGGATTTCGATCCGATTTTTGCCATTTCTCAGTCAAAAATACTGCAAATGACAAAAATGAGGTTATTTTAGAATAAAAAATTTTTTTAATTTTATCTTATTTTTAAATAAGCAATTTTCCCAATTTATAAACATTTTATTATTATGATTATAATATTTTTAACAATTAACATATATTTTTTCATATTCTGTTTATTAATTTAATTAGAGTTTTTTT